TTTTCGGGTCCTGAGATATAGGTCTTTCCATCCGCATAACCCGATTCTAACCAGTTCATTAAAATGATGTTTTTAATAAAAAAGTGTTTATTTCGCGTAGCAGTCGTCGGAATAACAAAAGTTTTCTAAATTTGGCTCTTTTTGTAAATAGCCGGCCTTCGGCCGGGGCTTGAGATTTCACCTATGGGTATGTCCGACACCGGCTAACTCGAACAAAAGGTTCATAATTTCGGCACTTTTTGTAAATAGCCGGCCTTCGGCCGGGGCTTGAGATTTTCTCCTCTAGGTATGTCCTACACCGGCTAACGCGAACCAAAGTTTTCTAAATTTGACACTTTTTGTATATAGCCGGCCTTCGGCCGGGGCTTGAGATTTTCTCCTCTGGGTATGTCCCACACGGCTAACGCGAACCAAAGTTTTCTAAATTTGACACCTTTTGTAAATAGCCGGCCTTTGGCCGCGGCTTGAGATTTTCTCCTCTGGGTATGTCCCACACCGGCTAACACGAACCAAGTTTTCTAAATCGGATACTTTGGATACTGTAAGTAGCCGGCCTTCGGCCGGGCTTGAGATTTTCTCCTCTGGGTATGTCCCACACCGGCTAACGCGAACCAAAGTTTTCTAAATCGGATACTTTTTGTAAGTAGCCGGCCTTCGGCCGGGGCTTGAGATTTTCTCCTCTGGGTATGTCCCACACCGGCTAACGCGGACCAAAGATTTCTGAATCGGATACTTTTTGTAAGTAGCCGGCCTTCGGCCGGGGCTTGAGATTTTCTCCTCTGGGTATGTCCTACACCGGCTAACGCGTACCAAAGATTTCTGAATTTCATTCTTACGCAAAATATACCATTTTTTATTGAAAACATAGTTTTAATGAACTGGTTAGAATCGGTTATGCGGATGGAAAGACCCATATCTCTGGACTCAGTGAAGGTATTAGCACAAATTGTAGCATTTTGGAAAGGTAAAAGTGTCAGCTATAATTTGCATCAATTTTGTTGTCCCCCATAATGGACCTTTTTTGACTTTTTGGGGGTTTTATAAAAAATCCGGGTCCAAAAAATCGATAATTTGACTATAACTTCCGAACCGTAACCCATTACCCCATCATGTGACCACTTGTTGGATAGGTATTTTCATAAGCTTTCCAACGATACCCATATTGTCTATATCGGGTAAGTGGATCCGGGTCTAGTCGGGTCTTGAACCCGGACTTTCGGGTCAAAAATCTGGGGTCCCAGGTCCGTCCCCCAAGAAAATAGTTTCCCGGATCATGGTTAAAATACCTACCACTGAAAAATTTTCGAAAAAATTGAAGAGTTTTTACTAAACTAGAGTTAAGCCTAATCGTTAAAATAGGATCACAAAGCAGAGAAATTGAAACTCAATATTTTATAAAATCAAGAAACAATTAGAGGATTCGAGTTTGTTTTCGCTCAAAAACTGTCATCTTAGCTAATTCTTTAGGAAAATTTGGTATGCTATAATAACAATAACAAAAAAAAAATATGGACCAAACCTTTCCAGGTTCATGTGGTTTGTTAGGATATCGAAAAAGTCAGCTACATCGTACCCACATGATACAGGCATTCTTGTATGAAACTCGCAATAATGGCCTAAAAGATTATAAACACTCATCTATGTAAAGCGCAATTAACTACGTATTATATTTTATATGTCCTACTCTTTATTGATAAATGTTTTATTTTTTATTTACAGGGCCAAATGGAACTTAAAGAAACTATCGAAATTTGGAAACAAAAGGGACACATTATGCGTTACTGGAAGGAATCCCAAGATCCCAAGCCAACAGATTTCTTGTCCAAATTCATCCAAGGCGTTAATTAGATTTGAAATCTACACTAAAATAGTATAATTTTTCGTTAAAAAGAAACAAAATGTTTTAAGTGATATTGAAGAAGTGAATAAAAAACAACAAGAAATCGAAAAAGGATAAATGAAATGAAACGAAATGTACTTCCAAATTAATTTATGTTTTTAACACACCAGGAGAGGATATGCTACCGATATCTGTGGTACAAGATTTACTCCCTGAAAAAAAATATAGTTCAAGTGTTTCACTTTTTCGAAAAATACTTCATTGTATTTTCTTAGTCTAAATTCTTAATAATTCATTTAATTTTTTTTTTTTTAGTTAATTCTTAATTCAAATTGTATACATATTCATTTTCACAACTTTTGTTTCAAATATTTTCAAATGTTGTGTCGAACTCCTTCAATTCCCTTTCCAAATCGATGTCATTAACAGGATTAATTTGTAAGTCATTGTTACGCTTAGGGAATACATCTAAAGGGCTGACATAATCATGTTTATCCTTCAACATCGAGGTCAATTCTTCATCGGTTATATCAAGAGCATGCAATTGTTTGCAGTGAAGTTTTATGCTAGAAAAGAAATATGCAATTTTAATCTAAAGAAAACCAAAATATCATTTACATACTCTCTTCTTAGGACATAACTTTTCGAACATTTTTTACATTTATACTGTTTCCCAGTGTGCCGGTATTGATGTACCTCCATGGCAAATTTGGAATTTGTGGTATATGGACAATATTTACATTTCATGGGAATTGTCATTTTTTGTTGCTCGCCTTCATTCCTCCTCGGCAGTTTGTTATGTATACGTTGCAAATGTACCTGTAGCTCAGCATTATTTATGTAATTTTTCGTACATAAATGACACTGATGATAACGCTGATTATGTCGTCGACGATGTACCGCCAAATGTGAAGCATTCATAAAAACTTTGTGACATATTTCACATTCGTGTCGAACATCAACATAGTGCACGGAATTCAGATGTGTTTCATATTTGAGAACAGTGTAAAATTTTAATTTACAAATGTACAACAAATGGGCTCGTTTAATTTACAGCAACGTTCATGGGCTGCCAAACCGGATCGGCGATGAAACATTTTTCCTGAAATTCAAGAAGCCAAAGGGTAAATTTTAAACAATGATTGAATAATTGTTCAAAGTTTACCACAATTTTCACAACAATGTTCATTGGGCATATTGGGTACGGTTTCTTGGCTGTTATGGGCCAAGGAAAAGTGAATTTTCAACGAAGTTTTTTCCATAAATTGTCTATAGCATGATGGACAGTTGTACAGAGTTATAAACATTTCTGAAATTAATTTACAAAATAAATAATTCACTTTGTAATGGCCGTTTCTCTATGGCGATACGAATGTGAATGCGAAAAAATATCAAACCAAATTATATTTAAATGTTGTTTTTTTTTAATTTAACCAAAAATCATGTTTAAATTCACTTTTGTATTGCCATACAGAACAGGCTCTGAAAGTTACTTTTATCATCTTCCTCCATATCATGTTCCATATTGAGATGTTGTTTCATTTCAATTAGTGTATGAGTTGAAAATCACAATTAATGCATTTGTGAGTTATCTCTGTTTCGAAAAATACATAAAGGTTAGGCTATATATATACAATTTCAAAAGCACATTACCATCAAGTATCTCAACATCAGCAGATATGGCCAGTACTAAATTTAAACAAAATAATACATCATTAAGTAAAATATGTAATAAAACAATTGTTATAAAAATTATATACTTCATGAAACCTACATTCCTTTGTCCTGTACAAACGATTCTCCAAATCCTTCTGTTTGTGTACTTTTTTGTAATGTTTACACAGACTTTCTATGAAACAAGTGTAGAAGTTACACATCTTACATTTGAAAGGTATTAGTTCTGAAAAGAAAAATTGGAAATTTTTGAAGCATAATTTAATTGTTCAAATAAGTTGTTGGTACTCTACGTTGATGAACATGTTGGGTGTGTTTTATTAACACTTCATGGTATTCAAAGGAATCCTCGCAGTAACGGCATTTAAATGGCTTAAGTTTTGGCAAAGGTTTGGCAATTTCAGATTTTGTTACAGGCCCTAAAAATAGCAACAAGTTATTTTTTAAATTGCTAAAAAAAAGTATTATACTTGCCTGCATTCACGTCTTTCTGTACCACCAGTTCATCTTTGTTTGATCCCACACTCGGGCAACTACCATTGCCACTTACATTGTAATTCATTTCACAATTCCACTTCAATTCAATTTGAGCTTTAACATCATGAACCTCCATTTTATTATTATTGATGTCTTGATAAATGCCACTTGCCTCCACGGAGTAAGCCTTCAACGAGACGCCATGTTCTCCTCTCGAATTCCCCATTAAATTAGTTTCAGCCGACATTCTTTTTTTCAGCCACAAATTTATCTTCATATTCCGTTTGCCTTTCCTTGGTCATTAATACAAAATGCTAACTGATTTGTAAGGCTTTGCTGCAGCGAAAACAAATTTGTTTGGGATAGTCGACAATTGGTCGACCACCACCATCGCCAGCCTTCATAAAATTGAACAAAGTATTAAAATAATCATACAATGTTTTGTTGTCCTTGTGAGGTGATTCGCTGTAAATTGAGATCAATTCACTTTTTGTGGCCAAACAACAACGGCAGCAATTTGAAACATTTTAGATTTTTTATAATTTTATATTGAAGGTTGTCTCTTTTTGGAGATCGGTTGTGGAGGATTGGATCTTATGACTTGATGGCAACATGTGTTATGAAATTGACATTTTCCTCTAACGGTTCCATGGAAAGAAAACAAGAAAATGTGTGCCAAAAAGAGATTTGCATAAGTTGTCAAGAAATAAAGCATACTTTTAGGTCCATCCATTAAAAATTCTTTCCACCCAAGGAAAATAAAAGCCTATAAAACTTTTTTACATTTCAATTGGAAGGTCCATACAACAGTACTGGAAACCTTCTTTATGATGATCTTTTAATACAAAATAGGATTTTTTCATTTATAAACAGTTGGTTAATAGATGTGCAGATATGAAGGAATCGGCAGCTACTCCTTTTCGGTGAATTTGTTTCATTGTGTTCATCCTAGGAAGAAGAATTAGAGATAGTTCAGAGGAAAGGTTGAAGAGGTGTTTCAGCGGGTTGGTTTGCCTAGACTGTAATGGGATCAATGTCTGCATCTGCATGGTAGACGTTCCATCGTCTTTATATATTTTTCATACTCACATAGTCTTGAGTAGTCGAGACCATTATTATTCCATTTTGAGGTCTATTCCGATAATGCAATGGCCATCAATATGGTCTACGGCGATCTTAGATCTGACCTATAAATTGATAGATGAAAACAGGTGCTTCTTCTCGGTATTGCCGGCCAGATGGCCTGAATACATAGCATCCGGTGCACAAGCAAAATATCCTGTCAGATTCCTCGGTGAGGATCTTCTCACAATTGGTGACTTAATAGCTCATCGGTTTGATAATCTCATCATTCGGCAGATCAGTCAACTGGAAAGCACCCATTTCACATTATGTAAAGGAGTAGAAAAGGTATATTTTGTGACATTTCACACTTTTTTTTTATATTTCGTAAATTTCCCAGCTTTTTTCCTCATAATGCTTAAATTACTTTTTATTTACTGTTTTCTATTTATATTATTATTGTATTTTTAATTCCATTTCCTTTTCGTTTCAATTCAATTATTCTTTATTTTCTTGATGTTTATTTTCCTTTACGTTGTTACCACTCGCCTTTTTCATTGGTAAATACCTTGCAAAGGCAAACTCTTCATATTCAAAGTCTACTTTTAGGCGCCAACATGAAAATTACAATGCGTTCATTTATAAATGTTATCTATTTGCTTTTTGCAAGGAATTTTATTGCATTAAACATAAATTCATATATATTCTTTATATAGTGTGATATATTATGGGGTTTGCTGCATAAATAATTGTGATATTTCTCTCTTAAAATTTAAACAATACGATAAGGACTCTAAAATGGAATGATATATGTATAAGCCATGTTTAGCTCATGGATTTTCATTTTATATGTACAAAAATAAATAAATAAATGTTACTAAGTGAATATGCTTATGGAATAGACCAAGCAAGGGGTATGTTGCTTTTAGTCCCAGTTAATTGGCTGTAGAATATCCTCCTGGGGACTTTTGCAGGCCATGCTGTTGCCATTAAACTCCTCATCATCTGTTAGTGCTTTGTTGTGGATTTTCGAGCAGTGATTTCGTAGACTATTCAAAGAAATAAATATTAAAATTATTAACAATTCACAATCTCTATTGCATTAAAATACTTACAACAAACGCTTCTTAAACAATTGTCCACAATATTTACATTTGTTCGGCACAATGCCACAATGAGACCATTTATGTACTTTCAATTGATCCATTGTTGTGAATTGCCGATTACAATTGGCCTCGGGACACATGTAACGTTTGCCAAAGTGTATGATATCCTTGTGCCGCTTCAAATGATGTGCATAACGAAAACTATTCGGACATTTGTCACACTGATGTGGCCTCTCATCGGTGTGGGTCCTTTGGTGAATATCTAATTCTAATTTACTTAGATACGATTTGGGACAGGAAGAACAACGAAATGTTCGTGCCATATGCTTCTTCAAATGATGCCGCAATAAATATAAGGTGGGATATTTAATGTCGCACACTTCACATTTGTATAGCCCCGAGGTTTGATCTTTGTTCTGGGACTTGATAAAATCGCGGCATGTCACTTTACGACTATGTACTCTAACGGCCTCGATTGTGGTACAATTTTCATGGCAGGCCGTACATTTGTATAGTATTTTATCATTTGCAACGCCAGTTGGTATTTCCGAGGATGCTGGGGTATCTGCGTTTATTGTTCGTGTATCAGTATTCATTGTTGGTGTATCTGTATTTGTTGAAATCTCAGTCTCCAAAGTGGGATTTGTGGTCAGTTCGGTGTTTTCTGTTAACATATCGGTTGCATTGAATATCATGTCTTTAGTGGCATCAACCGTTGTGTCAGTTGTGGGAACTGTGCCAATTGTAAGGTCATCTTGTAAATCTGGACAAATCATAACAAATGATGTTGAGGTGGAAGGTGTTACAACACAGTCTTCAAAGGGGAGTCCATTGTTGTTTTTTGTTCCGTTGTCACATTGTGCTGCTGGGTCGATGCTAAAGAGTTGTGATTCTTTGTTACATTCATCCGTAAGTCCTTTTTTATTTATTTTATTGAATAAAATATGGCAGCATTTTTTGGGAAAGATAATACAATTAACAATATCTCTTGATTGGTCTACCAAAATTAACAACAAAAAAGTAGGACGACTTGAAATCCACTACTTAATATTATATACTATTTTAATGACAATCCTCTCAAATATATTTTAAAGTTGTTCAGTGTCTTACATATCCTCGACCAGGCGATTGTTAGATTACTGAGAAAATTTTTCATTTTCCTTTCAACTCCCTTTCGAAAACCATACTTAAAATCAAACAGAAGTTGAACAAAAAGTAACACTTAATTACTCTCAAAATAATGAGTAAAAATAAAATTTCCAATTTTCCTTGCCAAAAATAAAATAACAAAAAATAAAATAAAAACTTGGTATTTTGTTAAAAAGGTATAATGTATTTTATAATTTTCTTCTTAGAGATTTGTTTGTTTTGCAATGATTTTCTGTTTCTTTTCTTGCGCTATTAAACAATCGGCAATTGAGATATAATCATATTTGCAGAGTATTATGTTTGCTATCGTTATTTACAATTGATGGCATATCTCGGATTAGACCATTATTGTTGTTATTGTTATTATTATTATTAATAGTACTGTTGTTGTGGTTGTTGGGATTGGGATTAATAATATTGACCTCTTCATATACCTTACCGCTTGATGCATTCTCATTATTATTATTATTGTTATTAGTCATCACTGGTAGTGGTGCATCAACGTTATTATTATTTAACACCGGAGCGGTTGTGGTTGTTGTCGTTGTTGTTACAGTTTCTGTGGAATTAATTTGAATTTGTGGATTATTAATTGGTGTCGTTGAATGATTACGTTCCAAATGGCGTAACAATTTTGCTTTGGTTGAATATGATCGTATGCAGCGGGGACATTCATAAGGAAGTTCTGTATAGAAAATAGAAGAGTGGGGAGAGACAAACAATAATACAGGTAACAATAGGATAGAATGTGAATTCGTTTAACAACACACAGATGCATGTATGTATCGGTATACTTACTTTTAATATATAAGAATCTGAAATGAAAATTGAATCCATTAGCAAATAATAAAACAAAGAAGCATTGCAAACTTACCATCGTGAATGCTATGATTTGTGTTCAAGTGTAATTGCACACTGGGAAAGTCTGTGGATTCATAGGTACATTTAGCACACATAAAGGTTGTTACTGTAAATAAAATGCGCATAAATAAAATATATCATAATTCACCTAGCTTAATATAGGCTCCCCAACTTACCGCTGGATTGTTCAATACTCAAATTTTCCATAGAAGAATTATCACTAACATAAACTGCATGGAAAACGAAAAACATTAAAGGAAAACACTTCAAATACTCTATCTCCAATTCAAGAACATACCTTTATCACCCTTGGCCTGGATCATATCCCTTGTGGGTATTCTCTTATGGACAGCCCGATAATGGCGTATTAAAGCACGTTTAGTGTTATAGAGATTGGTACACATTTCACAACGATACGGAGCCAGTCCTAAAAAAACCCAACATTTATTTTATGAATACTTTTTTTTCAAAAACTCCCTTACCTCTGTGCAAAAACATATGATTTTCAAATTGATACTGGCTGAGAAATGATTTTTGACACTGGGCACAATAGGATGTGGCCGTCTCCGTTTGACTTTCACTCTGCTCCTTGAGGACATCATCAAAATCATCATCGGAAGTGAGAGCCAAATTACGCATATCATTGTCATCGGATGAATTTTCAACATCATCAAAATCCTCAAAGAGAGCATCGCCGTTAAAATCAAAATCCATATCGGTTTCAATGGTCTGTTCCATTTCCACAATTTGTGGTATTGCATCGGATGGTAGGGTATATGTAGAACTGGAGGATGGTGTTAGGGGAGCAACGGCATTGCTTAATGTGGTATTTGGTGTTAACACCAATGTCATGGGATCAACAACGTTATTGAAGCTCGTTGTCAAGGAATTGTCCAGGGGAGTGGTTGTGATGACAACTTCTTCTTGTTGTGGCAATTGTTGTAATACTTGAATCTGATGTGTTTGCGGCGTCTGATTAGGCTCTTGATATTGTAACTGTATTTGTGGCTCTGTTGTGATATTTTGTTGCTGCATGGGTAAAAGGGTTTCTGTGGGTTGTAAGTCCAAAGAGTTCCCTGTGGTTTGCTCCTGCACTTGTTTCACAGTACTTGGTGTTTTTGTTTCCTGTTTTTGTAGTTGCTTTTCCGCCTCCTCCTGGGCACTATGCAGTTTGTAATGTTCATACAATTTATTGCGATAGAAAAATACCTCATTGCATTTACGACAATTCAATCCATTCAAATAATCCGGTAACATGGGATCTTCTTCGGCCGTCGTTGTATTCATTGTATTATTTATATTATTACTTATGTTTACAGAGGAAGTTTTTTGAGGCGAGCCCCCACTAAGGCTGGAGGCGGTTGACGTGGTCGGTGATGATCTCATTGTTTTATTAGACACTGGCTGTATGAGAGTGTTGTTGGTAATGCCCGTACGTGTTGGCCTTTGCTGTATATCCTGTACATTCATGCAATGCTTGGCCAGATAATGCCGTTTAATTTCATACTTCAAATCACATTCATAGAAACATATATCGCAACTGTATACCAATTTCGGAGATCTGGCAAAACGTTCAATTTCTCAACAATGGCATTTTTTGTTTGTGGATCCATTTCAGCGTCCGCACAACGTGTGGTTGGTTTATTTTTCGGTTGTAGCTGCTTGTTTGTCGGCTGGATGTTGTGTTTGCTTTTGTAGTGTTGATTTAAATCAATTTTAAAGAAGGTATAAAATGAACAATGATCGCAGAAGAAATGTGGAATTTCTGGAGGGCGGAGAAGAACAAGAGAGGGAGAGAGAAAAGATTATTAAATGACTGCGGCTTGTGTTTTCACAAAACTCACCATTGTGTGTCAACATATGGGTTTTCAGCTCATCTTGTGTATCAAATTCTTTGGCACATATTTTGCAAATATTTCTTTTTGGCTGTTCAATAAATGTGGCGGGGATCATGTCTTCGTCAATGGGGGATATGGGTACATCTGAAAGAAAGTACATTACATTTTTTATTTGTGAAGTTGTTTTAAAGAATGATTTTTACTAATATGCTCCCATACCTTGTGTCTGTTCTGGTGTATTCTCTGGATCCTCCACAATAATATCATCCACATCCATTTGCACCATATCATTGTTTGAAATTATCATACTGGTGGCGTTTGCATCGCTTTGTGTAAGCGCCAGGTTATTTGTATTGCCATTATCTTGTGACACAATAATATTCGATGTACTGCCATCATTTGGGACCTGAAGAATATTTTCGAGCACCAATCCATTGTCCAAGGACAAAGTTGTACCATCTCCAGCATTAATGTATTCAATAACAACACCTACAAAATACACGAATTAATTAAAACACACATTCTAGCCAACATAATTGGCATACATACCCTTGCCCATAACATTTTCCACAGACCCATCGGCCATAACAATAAATTCATTACCAACATTTGTGTCATTTTGCATATTGAGATTTCCTTCAAAGCCGGAATTGAATGTAAATGCCTCTCCATTTGTTTGGGCAAAAATTGTCGTTGTTGCAGCATTTCCCTCCAGGGGAGCCGTTGTTGTTTGGGTATTTATGGCGGTGGCATAAACGATATTTTGATTTTGTGGGGCACTTGTGTAAATAATTTCATGAGAGTTTTGTGCTGTTGCTACGGGCTGGTGGTTATCAACATAAACTTCACCTGAGTTTGACAGTGGTTGTTGTAGAAATTGCTGTCTCTGTCCGCTGCCATTAACAGTTTGTCTGGTGGATGTGCTATTGCTGCTTTTAATGGGAGGTGTAATTTTTGTCTTGGGCTTCAATTGTTCAGGGGTTGGTTCAACGCCGTGCGTAAATTGATAATGTTGTATTAAATGATTGCGTTGATGATGTTCAAATCCACATAATTGACAATTATAGGCAATTATATCTGTGTAAGGCATGGGAAAGGGGAAATACATTATTTAAAGAATACATTTTTATTATGGATTTATTTTATTACTAAAGATTAGACGACAATGTAGAGGATATTGTGTTATTTTTATTTATATTAAATTGTAGGCATTCTCTAAACCGGAAATTCATACAAAATCAATGCCACTTTTCTCGTAATAAAACACAATTATTAACACTTGTTTGGAAAAGGCTACATTCTTGTTGCCTTTTTTTGCAAATTCACATAATACCAACAGATGTTTTTTTCTTTATCCCTGCCTCACTCCTTTACCATTAACACTACCACTTGATTGCCCAAATTATTGCAAATACAACACATGTTCATACGCGAAACTCCAAAAAAAACCAAATCTTGTTTCCTTTACTTTCAACAATAACAACAGATCAAACGTTTGCCAAATGATGACTCACACAAACAAATGTCAATGGGGGGGGGGAAGTCATAAGGATTCTACCAACTTACCCAAATGCAATTTGACGTGATCTTTTAAAGACCTCTTTGTTTCCAATTTTGTATTGCAAATTTTACAACGATAACGTTTGGGCTTCTTTACTTCCTCGCTTGCCTTTGCTTGGGCCGCCTAAAAGCACCACGCAATCACAACACACAAAAGAAACGCAGACAAAAATAAAATTACATTAATTAGGACACTTGCGACACTACACCACAACATTCATCGACTCACCTCCTCTCGTTCGAGTTGCTTTTGTTTTTCTTTGATTTCATTGATACGAATTTTTAGCACTTCCTGGGCTTTGGTGGCATTTTTCATAAACCAATAGGCCACTTGTAATGCGGATGCACAATCTTTGCATATACACAGGGGCAGGGCATCGGTTTCCTCCGTAACTCCGCTATAGCTAGGCATACAGTAGTTGAGACAATCCAAATATGTACTTCTGTCAGCACCGCCATTCATGGGCGCGCTTAAATTTTGCATTTCTCCATTTGCTTGCAAACATGTTCGACAGACGGATGAATAATAGTCCTTGCAATCCTGTATACTTTTTTATCGTCCATCTTTTTTCTATGTGCTTGCCTTTAAGGGGGGTTTACGTAGACCCCTTGATCTTTGTTTGCCTATTCTTTGATGAGTTTTTTCTCTACTCTTTGTGTTGTTTATAGTTTTATAGTTATGTAAAATAATTGTCTGCAATTTATTTGATTTTTTGCAAATTCTTTTCCCGAAATTACGAATTTCATTAAATTCTTTGTAATTTTCGTGTTGTTTACTAGTACTGTGTTGCCGGACTGTCAAAGTAGTGGATTGATGTTTGTGTGGTGCTGCCACTCGCAATAATTGACACCGGATTGCCAACCCTTATAAAGTTAGTAAGTAAACGCATAGACAAATTAAGATATAGACAACGAAAAGTTAGTTTGGTCTTTTTTTCCAGGTGGCTCTCATCATGTTTTGCATAGACAACATGCTCATTTACGCGTTCAAGCCACTCGACTTCGAAAACACATTTCATCGTTTTTCAAGAATTTCACTTGATTATTCCGGAATTTTTTGATGTCATCTCGTAATTTTCACATTTATTTTATTATGGAACAATTTCCAACTGACAAATATCCTACAATTTTTGTTATTTTTAACGTTTTAGAATTGAGTGACTTCAATATTCCCACTCAAACCCCTGAAACGATATAGACGACATCTGCTGATTCGATTTTTTTCGAAGATAAACGGTGAGAGCATTTCGTTGTCTATATTTTCATTTGTCTATGGTAAACGTTTAGATTCAACTAGACGATTGGCAACGCGAATGAGTTGTGCCATAGACAAATGAAAATATAGACAACGAAATGCTCTCACCGTTTATCTTCGAAAAAAATCGAATCAGCAGATGTCGTCTATATCGTTTCAGGGGTTTGAGTGGGAATATTGAAGTCACTCAATTCTAAAACGTTAAAAATAACAAAAATTGTAGGATATTTGTCAGTTGGAAATTGTTCCATAATAAAATAAATGTGAAAATTACGAGATGACATCAAAAAATTCCGGAATAATCAAGTGAAATTCTTGAAAAACGATGAAATGTGTTTTCGAAGTCGAGTGGCTTGAACGCGTAAATGAGCATGTTGTCTATGCAAAACATGATGAGAGCCACCTGGAAAAAAAGACCAAACTAACTTTTCGTTGTCTATATCTTAATTTGTCTATGGTTGTGCTCCAACGTTTAACATCGACGTTCATTTACAGAAAGTGGAAAAAATGACAAAATAATGAATGAAATCATAATTTTTATTGCGCTTAAAATTTAGCGTATGTTTGTGAGTTCAGTATTTTACTCATTAATTAATTTGAAGGTATATTATCCGCCTGTTTTTGTTGACAACCACAACTCAGGCACTTGGACTAAAACCTTTTGCAATAACGCACAAGTTTCGATTCATGATCGTTCAATAATAGTTTTTGTACACACAAAAATATATTAAACAAGATATACAGGGAGAGATGAAAAAACTGTAACCAACTTCAGACTGCTGTCATTTCTAAGCCACTCGTCCGACAGCTGTTAAAATTACACCAGTGACAGCTCTTTATATTGTTTACAAGCATGCGAAATCATTTTGGTTAGAATTTTCCAGATAAAAAGTTATTCGTGATCGAATTCAAGCGTGATAGTGTGATTTCTTTATATTTGGCGGGAAAACCACAAGTGGCTATCGTTAATGCACTCCAGTATTTAAATGTGAACAAATCTTTTGTGTCTCGTACCATCGCTCGTTACCGTGATACTGGTAGCGCAGCCTCAAGGAAGTGAAGAGAAGAACGCAGCAGTGGCCGAAAAATGGCTCGTGAGCTGACATATCGCAATATTCCATTCGGCAAATATTGAAAAATGAGCTCGGGGTAAAGCCATTGAAATCCAAAAAGTGCAAGAATTTAGACCGCATCAGAAAGAAAATAGACTTAAAAGAATTTTGTTTTCTCCGATGAGAAAACAATCGTTGTCCAGCAATTTCTAAACGAACAAAATGATCGTGTTTACTGACCAATTCGAACTATATCTTATTCTAAAATTTAATGCTATTTCCGAATTTTTCATTCAATTAAATTAAAAATTATGTCATTTGACTTTGTTGTAGTTTTTTCTATCAGCCTGTATGTTTGTACATTTATATTCTTTATTCGCTGTGTTTAAAGAAAGTCATTCATATTTTTGCAGGGGATTTTAAATATATTACTCCTGTTTCTTTTTATTGAAGCATTTGGTTTACTAGTAGCTTATATTTAACTAAATTAATTACTTAAAAACATGATACTTTAAGCTATTTAATATATTACACAGAAATGCAAGAACTTAATTAACATCCTAAAAAACAATTACCGTACTCTAACCAATTATTTTTCATTACATTTATTACACTCAATATTTAAATGCATTTCATTTACATACATGCATCAGTCTTTCAGTAACAATCTTTTAAAATATCTTCCACAATATTATTATTGATATTCTGTTCAACAATATTTTCTATATTTTCTTGCTGTGTTTCTATGAGATCTCCATCAATTTCATAAACCTGCTCATCATCTATTGGTTGCCCTAAATTAACATTTAAATACTGATTATTACCCGTTTCACAGAGTTCTGCATTTTCATCTAGATCAATTTCAAAATCTCTGTACAAGGTTGATTGATTTAAATCATCATCGTTGGACTCATCATCATCGTCACAGGGTACGATGGGATAATACAATATTCCATCATCGTCCTCATCATCGGATAAAACAACACTTTCAGTGCCTAAATTTGTAGACATGGGAGCTATTTCTCTTTTCACTTGGCTTTTATTGGATAAAATCTGGGATAGTACCAACATTTTGTTGTCGGAAGACTGCACCAGATTGTATTCCTCTGGTGTTAGTAATTCTATGAGGGTTTTCGTGCTTTTCACATAACGATCTACTTTTTCCCACGGCACATTGTGCCGACTAACGTAATGACGCCGTATACTAACCACACTGCAAAACAGGGCAAAGTCGTGATGACACAAAAAGCATAGTAACGTCTTCTCGGTTATGGGGTGTTCTTGCTGATTGTGTAGTCGTTTTTCTTGGGGAGTATCAAAAACAAGCTTGCATCGGAAACAGCCATAGAAATTGCCAGTTGTTTTGGTTTTTCTCATTACTTTAAACCATAAATACTCCTGGCGCTCCTCTGGGTTATATTGCATTTTTGCCACATGTTGTGGTTTTGATCGTCTGACTATTTCATCACAAGTACCAAATTCCACAACATGAATTTTGGTCTGGTGTTGACGCAAACTTCTTGAATTTGAGCAAGAAAATTTACAAACAATACAACGAAGTCGTTGCTTTTTGTGTTTTTCCCTGATATGAAAATTGAGATTGCTAACCGTTTTGTAGGTGGCTCCACACGTTTCACATACATAGCAATGACTTGGACGTTTCCAAACTCGTTTTTTGGAAATGTTTTGATGTTGACAGTCTTTGGCCATTTGCCGGGTGAAATGCATTCGACAGCATACCGAACACGCATGCTGGGGTGGAAAATGTTTTATACGATGACGCCGCAAATCGATGCGCCGCTGAAAATCTTCATAACAAATATCACATATAATGGGTTCGGGTGGTGTCTGGGGATCATCATGAGAATTGTTATCATCCGACTCTGTTTGGGTATCTTCATCGCCAAATATCAAGTCCATATCGGGCGCTGCGCTATTAACAAAATAAGGTTTTTTCTTTTTTTGACTTTCCTTGTAAAGCATCCATCTTGGATAGCGCCATATATCATTGTAGTCCTTTCGACCCGTATTATTTATCCAAATTATGTTTTTGTTACATTTACGAATATTTTCCTTGAGAAACCTCTCAAGTATTTCATAATATTCTGGAAATGTGAGGGTAAATTTTGTACCCAAATCCTTGGCCTTTTCATTGGCTCGCATGGTTCGATTAAACCATATATAAATACGCTGTATGCTAAGACGAACTTCTACATCTGTCATGTGTATGTTAAACATTGAATTTATGTGTGTGCGCAACTCCATAATACTGGAGCGTATTTTTTCCAATGTTGTTCGGTTTTTAGTTTCTTGAAAATTATATAATTCAGGGTACTTTTCCAATTGTCGAAGAAATTCAAAAACAATTTTACGATTTGTTAAACCGAATAGTATCTGAAAATAAGAGGAAATGTTTATTTAGGTCACGCAAATAATTGAGGATTATCTATTTTACACCGCAGTTATTTGTTGAGCTTGGCTGTTCATCTTCATTTTCATCATTCGATGGCATATCATCCTCAGAGTCTATATAGCGTGATGGAAAGGGTGCAACTTGTGGTGGATTCTGAGGCGTCACTTTTGGCTTAACTAAGTCATCGAACTAAAGGAAAAAAAACATAAAGTTGGATGTTACTTTGCAGTAGCTTTCAATGTGAGATTTTTTGTTTGGGAAACCTACGGGCAAAACTGGTTCAATAGTTGTGGCTACAATGGTCTCCATTGGTTCGGCCTACAAACAAGAAAATTGTAACATTACTTGTAAAGCAAAAAACAATTAAAGACCTACTTGAATGTCATTTTCATCAAGAATCAAGGGAGGGGACTCTAAGAATTCAATATATTCCATGTCATCCTGGGAGGCCTAAAATAGAGAAATATATATTTGTTTAATCTAAAAAATGTATATCTGAACATACATACATCTTCAATGTTTTGAAGATCCTGAAACTCGTCAGCATTATCATCTTCATCTTGGGAAGACCACTCATTGGCAATCAAAGTGGGTAAATCAGGTACTTTACACTCGCTTTTCTTATTATCACTCAAGATATTCTTTTCTATATGGTGCAAACCATCAGGATCATCCACCATTTCACTATCGTCACCTTCATATTTCGAAGACCAACCATTTCCAATTAATATTGCCGATTCCTGGTGTTTTTTCGAATCCAAGGAAGAAAAACTGTTATGTTGGCTTGGATTTTTTATGTCCACTTGATCCGCATTGACTTTTCTTATTTTCGACGAAGATTCCGAAGTCGCAGTTTCGACCGATTCCACCTCAGAATGCAAACGTTTATCACCAATGGGCAATTGATTGGAATTCTTATGGTTATCATTTTTATCACAATTCTTTTTGACGTTCTGTGGATGCATGCTTTGTATGTGCCTGATGAAATAACTACATTTTTTTAAGGGAAACTCTTGATAACAATAAAAACAATGAATGGTAAAATCTTGCGCAGCAATAATACCACAAATGCTATCGTTGCAGGT